TTATTTCTTCAGGCACGTCATCACAATCAGTTTCGTCTTCATCATCTGTGTTACCCTCATCCATAAATAAACAGTCATCTTCTGATCCGTCCAGATTCTTTGAAATGCTGCATTTTTTTAATGATTTTCTAACCATCTCAGGCTTAATTTCATCCCATGCTTTTAATATCCATTCGCACACTGTTTCCAAACTTGCATGACGCATATGTCCTCCTTTCATAAAAGTTTTCTCGCCCTCCAACATCCAAGTGTTCCACTGTTTTTTTAAATTGGCTTTAAATGGTTTGTTTAAGCAGACATCCAATGGCTGAACTAATGGTGTCAATCCGCCCGGAATAACTGCCATATCGGTGTTACATTCTTTCAACAATTTTTTTGTATTATCTGTAAGATGGGACCTAAACATGTCCCACACTAAAAGGCTTTCTGGTTTTTCTATTGATACTAGACGAGATATTGCACATGTACAATCCAAATTTTCGTGCGCGTTACACGAAGAGTATATCTTAAAATTAAAAAAAAAGTTTTCAGAAATTACGGGTCCGCGTTTTACGCCGGGGCGCGTCATGCGCCGGAATATACGGTAAACATATTGAGTCATCAGTCATGAGTGACTGACACTGAACAATATATATATATAGGCTGCGTCAGTCACCCGTGAATGACACTGAACTTTTTGCTTAGTTTTTTTTTTCTTTTTTTGCCTTTTCGTTTGTGTCAGTTGCATACTAGGCAAGTCTCTTGTTTTTTTTTGCGGAGACTCTTGTATTTTACGACTATTTCTGATTTGCCTGTATATTCTTAAATTTCTCCGTATTTGTCGAAGAAATTAAAAAAAAAAAAAACATTTTTTCGCTATAAAATATCCTTTGATGGCAAAAATACTTCTTATATTCCTCAACAGATGGTGCTGTTGCCAGTACTGCAATATGTTGAGTTTTAATAGTTTAAGTAATTATAAATAATGGTATAAAAAATCTTCTTTAGATTAATATACATATAGATTTATATACGTATTTTTCACTTTGCTAAATGTAGGTGCTTGTATTATTTCCAGTTCTGAATTTCCCTTTTTGACTTACATGATTATGCATGATGTCTCAAAACTTAACTCATAGTCTAAAAAATGTTGCTAGTAAAATCTTCATTATTTTGTTTCGCAAATGTTGGCAGGTATGCAGTCGCATATGACTGAGAGTATGAAACTAAGAAATTTAAATTACCTTAAGCAATTACTGAAAATTTCTTTGAACTTTACAAAAAATTTTATTTGTTGCAAATCAAATTTTTATTTATAACAATTTATTTGTAGAGCGCTTTGCATAGTTATATCACAATACTAGCACTTTTAAATAGTACCTATGGTCTAACAGGAATTTCCTTCCATAAATACACAGACGCTCATCATGTTAAGCTTTTACAAAAATATTTATTTTATGATTTTTTTCTTTTGCAAATAAAATGAATTATGAGTCAGTATTTGAATAACTTTAAATAACTTGATTGAAATAACTTTAAATTCATTGTATAGACATAATTTCAGAGTTATTTTCACATTTTTATTTGTTACTTGTTTATTTATACTCCTCCTAATACATTATACTTTAGATAACACATTTAATAACTTGTTACAGAATAACTTAAGCATTTAATTATAAAGCAAATTGACGTTTTTTTTTTTTCTTCTTCAAATTTTTAAAACTAAAATAACTAATGTAACTCCTTGATTTTACTTATCGTTAATTTATTTTTTATTTCAGTTATGAAAATAAAAATCAAACTTCTGGGAAAAGAGGAAGACCCAAAAAGAATAAATCACTATCTGATGATAATGAACAAATAAGGTTCGTTTCTATATTGCTCTCTTGTATGTTTTCATTTTTAAATTTTTTTTCTTTTCTGGAACTTAAGTTACATGTCTGTGTGACGACATACCATTTTCTCTCTCTTCCATTTGAGTTTCCATTTTAGCTCTCTGATTTGAATTTCTATTTATTCTGCACTTATGCAGTTATTTTATTTTTCTTTGAGAATAAGAACATCTATTACAATTCTAAGAACATCTAATATCATTGAGAACATCTAAGAAAAACTAAAAAAAATATCCAAATGAAAAAAGTATAATATGAGTTTCTATTTTTAGTTTCAAAACAAATTTGTATGTTATTAAAATTTTATGACAGGCAAAAAGAGCGAGCAAGGCGATCTGAAAAAGCTGCACCTGCAATTTCGTGGGTTTGTGAGTGCCAAAAGATATAGCTTTGAAAATAATTCAAATAAAAGAACATTAGTTTTTGGTTTATTTTGTGCCAAAGATGAAGTTTTTTTTTTCCTACATAATTTATTTTTGTAAAAACTATCAGCAGTTGAATTATATTTTTTTGCAGTTATGTACGTTTACATTCGAAGTAGATCAATACACTTAATTTCGTAAAAATTTCTAATTAGTTTTGGAGTAATTAAATTGCAGTAAGATTTTTTTCTTTGCAATGTTAATAAACATGAATTCAAACAAAGGCAAATGAATTAAAACAAAAAAGACATTTGCAGACAGTCATGTTCATTCACTTTAATGTCTATCAATGAACATGTCTGCTATTGTCCCTTTTGTTTGAATTTCAAACTTATTTTGGAGGAATTAAGGTGTAAAGTTTTTTTTTTTTCAAAGAACAAATATCAATCCACTCCAATATCTTGATTACTTTATTCATATTCTTATACTTATCTGCTTAATTGGTATAGTTTGCCACTACTTACTTTACTATATTTTAGTGGGCTGGAGAGGTGAAAAAGTGGACAAAGCTATTTGAAAAGAACTGCTAAGAAAGAAATACTAAGTCTCTTAGTATTTTAAAATAAAAATTGGTGTCAATTAGTATTTATTTAATAAATTGGGAAAAGTGTTAAAAATATTTAATTTTTACTAATCAATAGACAAGATTTATTTTTAAATTACGAATTAACGAGCTATTTTTTTTAATATTTGGCAGAAAGAAAACTAATGCAAAAAGAGGAAGACCTTCTAAAGGTAGTCATGAAGAGTTAATAGCTAAGAAAAAGCAATGTGTTTTGGATAACATGTTGCCTAATTTGGAAAAAAAACTACAGCTTCAAACTGTTGCAACTGAACAAAATGCACAGTAAGTAAACTTGGAATAAGTGTATATATAAAAGGAAAATAACTTTTTATTTATTTCAAAAGTCAGGAGTAAAATATATAAATAAATGTTTTCATTTCGTTATTTTAAAATGGTTATTATTTTCAAATAATTATTACTATGTATGACTCAAGTTAGCATATTTTAACTTATGAGATTAGTCTAATAATGTTAAAGTAGTGGTATTCTAAAAAACTCTGAAAATTATTGATTTAAGATGTATATTTTAAATAAAAATGCTTTTACAATATTGATATAATTCTAAGTCTTATCCAGCAAATTATTATATGAAATGCTCTGTAAAAAAAGCATGAATAAATTGGAGCATGAATAATGGAGTTTTAAATTATTTTACTTGTATAGATCAATATTTTATAAAATTAGAAGTTTAACTTTTAATATCAAGTTATCTCGTTAAAAAATGTATATATACATAATCTCAGGGATGAGATTCTTCCGCGGATTC